GTAGGAGAATCGCTTGAACCTGGGAGGCAGAGGTTGCAGTGAGCCGAGATCGTGCCATTGCACTCCAGCCCAGGCAACAACAGTAAAACTCCATCTGAAAAAAAAGAAAAAAAAAGAAAAAAAAAAAAGGGACTAGTCATGTGTGTATGCATTTGAAGGCATGAATTATTAAATCTAAGGTCTTCATTGTGAGTGAGCAGATCAGTGTGCATACCTTAGGGCATTGCATAACGAGTCAAAGAGTAAGGGAGGAAGCAGGTGTATCTAGATGGTGTCAGTGAGTACCTAAGGGACCAAGTTTTCTGTTTGGAAGTTATGTAGTTAAGACCTCTTATGATGGCTGGGGGTGGTGGCTTCTGCATGGAATCTCAGCACTTTGGGAGGCCAAGGTGGGTGGATCACTTGAGGTTAGGAATTTGAAACCAGCCTGGCCAACATGGCGAAACCCTGTCTCTACTAAAAATACAAAAATTAGCCAGGTGTGGTGATGTGCGCCTGTAGTCCCAGCTACCCGGGAGGCTAAGGCAGGAGAATCGCTTGAACCCGGGAGGTAGAGATTGCTGTGAGCTGAGATCACGCCATTGCACTCTAGCCTAGGCAACAAGAGTGAAACACCGTCTCAAAAAAAAAAAAAAAAAAAAAAAAAAAAAAGAAATAGATTTGGCTTCAAATAACAGGAAAACACAAAATAATAGTGGCTTTAGTAAGACAGAACATTATTTCTCTTTCTCATAAACAATACTTTCCTGGCAGGGGAGATACCATTATCCTGAAGGTGGTTTTCTTAGGGCGAGGCTCATCCATTGCACTCCGAATGTGCTGACTCTTGCGATTTCCCCAAATGTGGGAAACTCGACTGCGTAATTTGTGGTAGTGGGGGACTGTGTTCGCGCTCTAGTAAAATAAAAAATAAAAATAAAAAATAGCCTGGGCATAGTAGCTCACGCCTGTAATCCTAGTACTTTGGGAGGCCAAGGTGGGCGGATTGCCTGAGCTCAGGAGTTCGAGACCAGGCTGGGCAACATGGTGAAATCCTGTCTCTACTCAAAAAA